GAACTATTCTGAAAATAGATAGTGACGAAGGTTGGATAACTTTGTAAATATACTACAAACCACTGAATTTGCACTCTTTAAAAGGGTGAATGTTATGGTATATTAACTATATCTCAATAAACATTTTAACCTAAAAATGGAGATTTTATTGCTTACATTAAGGAGCTATTCTGTGGATGAGATAATATTTGCAAATTAAATAGCAAGATGGTTAATATGTAGTAGGTGCTTATTCAGTGTTAGTTTCCCTTCCTATATGATGTATGGTAATTATACTTTCACTTGTGATTGTGAACAGCTTGTGTCTTTTTTTTTTTTTTTGATGCATCCCTTCTTTGCATCTTTTTTTTTTTTTTTAAAGATTTTATTTATTCATTTGAGACACAGAGATACAGAGAGAGAGAGCATGAGCAGGGAGAGAGGCAGAGGGAGAAGGAGAAGCAGGCTCCCTGCTGAGCCAGGAGCCCGATGTGGGGCTCGATCCCAGGACCCTGGAATCATGACCTGAGCCGAAGGCAGATGCTTAACCATCTGAGCCACCCAGGCGCCCCCCCTTCTTTGCATCTTAATAGCTCTTTGAGCTTACTACCTATTCTTGGCAGTAATTGCATATATAACATCCCAAACTGTGTAGTCATTTCAGACAATCAATCAGATGTCTGTCTGCCGGATGCTGATGAACAGTTAGCTAAATCTGATATGTTTTTGGAATCAAAAGGACCAAAGAGTCTTAAATGAGATGGAAGATTCACAAATAACATGAAATTGGTACCTAGCCCTGCTGAGGATTTAAATACTGAAAAGCCTGTCTTATGGGTGAATTTTGCATTCGGAACTAAAATTGCTGTTGAAATCATTTTAGTAATGGCAATTCCTCACATGTGGTCTGATGGAGGGATAGTGAGAAATAAGGCTGGAGAAGCGAGTAGGAGTCAACTTGAAAGATCTTCTAAGTTACATCTTAGGGAAGTTTATTAAACTAATGGTTAAATTAATTCTATTTTTCTCAATTTTCCAAGTTCTCTGAATGAAATTTTGACTCCGTTGTATCTGTTTCTTCCAGAGACTAATACAAAAGACCTCCTGCAGGGAGGATAGAAGCTGGAGAAAGGAAGTGAAAGTTTGCTTTATGTTCTGGAAATAAGAAACCCTTTATTAGATACATGATTTAGAAATATTTTCTCCCAGTCTGTGCCTTGTCTTTTCATTTTCCTAACAGTGACTTTCAAAAAAGCAGAGATTATACATTTTGGTGAGAATTTATCATTTTTCCCTCTTTAGATTGTCTTTTTGTGTCATATCTAAGAAATCTTTGCCTAACAAGATCTTGAATATTTTTCTATGCTTACTTCTAGAAGTTTCACAGTTTTAGCTCCTGTATGTAGGTTTATCATCCATTTTAAGTTTTTTTTAATTTCATACAAAATAGATTGTCCTTTTTTCTCAATTCATGTCCAATTGTCCAAGCATCATTTATTTAAAACATTCCTCTTTCTTGTCAACCTTGACATCCTTGTCAAAAATCAGTTCATTATATGTTGAGGTTCAATTACTGAACTTTATTTTTTTCATTGATTTATGACCACATTTTTCACTAATGTCACACTCACTTGATTGCTCTTAAATGAGGTAGAGGGAGTCATTGACATTTGTTTGTTTTGTTTTAATTTTGGGAAATTAGAATTCCTTAGTTTCTATATAAATTTCAGAATTAGATTGATAATTTCTACAAAAACTTCTAGAATTTCAATTAGGTTTGGGTCATATTTATAGGTCAACTTGAGCAGAACTCACATATTAATTCCATGAACTATTTTGAGCCATAAATATGGTATATTTCTCCAATTATGAAAGTACGATGGAGTCAATGGTAATACTCAGCTTATTGGCTTGGGTACTGTGTTTTAGGCCTACCAAGTATCCCATTTCCTTTGTTGCTTCCATGACCTGGATTTTGTTTGTTAGTAATGTGCCCAACTGAAGACTTGATTTCCAAGACTCCCATATAGGTAGCTATAACCAATTGGCAGAATTTTTGTCAAAGAGCTATATTAAGTGTCTAGGTGTGGCTTCTAGAAAAGCTGTAGCTTTACTGCTTAGAAGAAGAAGGTAGGGGGGGAAGGGGAGGGGGAGGAGAAGGAGGGGGAGAGGAAAAAGAAGAGAAAGAAGAATAGGATAGAATGGTCAAAAGTTAACTGCCTTATTACTAATTTTTGTTACATGAAGCCACCTAAACCTCCATTTGTTTAAGACTGTGGGCAGATTTTCTGTTACATACAGCAAAATTATTTCAGACAAGCATCTAGAGAAGTGGGTGTACCATTCACATATATGTGGAATAAAGAATAAGGAATAAATGTCTATCATCATTCTATACTCCATACCAGAGTAGATATAAATATCCTATTCATGGAAGTGTAATTTAGAAAAAAAGAAAAGATGTCTGTTGCTTTAGTTTTAATTTTAATTTTAGAGAAGTAAATTGGAATACTATTGTTATATGTAAAGTTTTATACCTTTTGTACTAGATATATTTGTTAAAGAGTAAATGATTTAAAAACCCTACATTATACTTTGGAGATAATGAAATGGTCTCGAATTTGTCATTTTTTGTTGAGCCACTTTCATATATAGGTCTTATGTTCCTTGGCAGAAGAAATTATATACCTAGCACACATTTGTTTTCTGCATATTATTGAGTCCTAGAAGTTGTGAAGGTCATTGTGAATCATAAATATCTGTGCCTTAAAAATCAATACTTAATTTTTTTCATAATACTTCACATAATATGTAAATCTTAGCTATACACTTTTGGGCTACTGCTGAAGTCACTTTTATATCCTTCCCAGCATCTCATCTACAACTTTATACTTTCAAAGTATGATGTCATTTATCTTACGAAATTTGGATTCTAAGAAACAAATGTTAGGTTTTGCAATCTTGAATAATATTTTTTTAGTAGAGATTTAAAAGTAACAATTTTAGAGGTAGCAAGAAAGTGACAGACACAAAAAATCGGATGAACTAATATCAAATTATTTCCAAGAATATTATGTGCAAAGTGTATTCTCTCATCCCAGGTATTGGAAATTAAGTACAATCATCATCTGGATATCCAATTAAGTGAAGGTGGCGCTAGCATAATCTAACTATAATTCATGCTTAATATCAAGATAAAAGTGATATATTGTCCCATTATATTTAGTTTTTTAATTATTTAACTTGGCTTAGGTTAATGGTAAAATGAATCTTTTTAGTCTAGAATGACTTCTTTGTTATTTTTGCCCTTCAAAATATTTCTCATTGCCTAGTGCTAAGCCCCTATGCTATGAAAACTTTCCTCAACTCCCAAGTCACAATCATATGTTTTTTCTTTAGTATTTCCTTAGGTTATGTCTACATTTCTGCCATCCTCTTACTACATTATGCTTTGTATAATACTTAGTTGTGCATAAAGCTTTCTCATTAGGAAATATGTTACTTCAAGGCAGGATTATGGCCGCCTTCTTCCCTTTCTACCTTCTGTTTCTCCTTCATTTCTTCCTTTTCTTGTTAATAATTATAGCTAAGAGAACTTGATAGATTTTATTCTCTACTAAATTTACCATTATGCATGGTACAGATAAACATAATAACATACACTTATATGAAGTGCTTAATATTCTCATAAGCAGTTATTTTGAAATGATATTTTGTATCACTGTATCAAAGTAAAATAAGAAATTCTGTTATGGTCTTCAGAATCAATAATTTCCATATCTAAAGAGGATATAATTATAATCAAAGAACTGAGGTAAAAACTACAGTATCCAAATTAAATTGGAAATATTACTTTAGATGCAACATTTTATTTTTTTATTTTTATTTATTATTTTTTGTTTAGATGCAACATTTTAAAACATTTATTTCTTCAAACCCCTTTCACTGAGATGGCCTGGACACAATATTGTTCTAGGAGAAATGAGTGTCTCTAACCTCACAGTTGTCTTCCCTAATCCCTTCCACTAAAAGAAACCAGAATTCCTTAGAGAAATGTCTGATTTTAGAGGTGATTTTTCCCTCAGTTCTATTGCAAAGGCAACCTTGTATAAATGTTTACCTTGGTTTTACATTGTGAGGCTCTAAGTCTCAGTGGATTTTTTGTCGTCACTGTTTTTTTTGTTTTTGTTTTTGTTTTGTTTTGTTTTTTAAAGGTTTGCCTGCTCTGTTTTAGTGTTTCTTTAACTCCAGAACTGAGTCAGGTGCTAAAGTATCTTGAGTTCTGACAAAAAAATCAAGTGGTACATGGTGCAGAAGCTTCTGCTCTTTTGGCTTTTGAATGAATAATCAGTTAATAATCAGAAGAGCAAACCACTTTTCCTCCACTTAGCTTCCAGGATCTCAGGTTTCCTGATGAAAGCATCTGTCTCTTTTCCAGTATCAGTGTTTGAAAACACTTCATCCCATGGATCCCACACCACATAGACCCAAGGGGAGTATGAGGCAGGGGAATTGGGCAATTTCTCCCTGGAGTAAACTCTGGGCCCGGGGAACACACAGAGTTTCTCACAAGGGACTTACAGGCTTCTGTAGGCTGAGTCTCCATCAAGAAAGCAGAAAACGTTCATCTTCACCTGAGACCTAAGGAAAGACAAATATCTCCGTGGCTGGTCTGTCTCTTTGTAAACCTGAAGAACACAGTTTCATATCTGTTCCAGCTTGCCAACACCAGACACCTAGGAAGAATCCTAAGCTTGTGATGAATGCTTTTAGTTTATTCCACCAATGTGCCTGTCCCCATTCTCAATCCCTACCCTCTGTGGTGTAATCACAAAGTGAAACTGAGAGTGAGACCATCAAAAACTTAAATACAATCTAGGATTTTTCAAGAATTCTCTAGGTACTTATTGAAAATGTGTAGCTTTTTCTTCATCATATGAAACAGACATACATTGCACACTTATTGCTATACTTTGTGAATGTTGACTTTCAATATTGCTGATCCTTGTTCTATAGGGATAATGGCGAAAGCACATGTATGTAAATCCACTCTTGAGTGCCAGTCACAGATTGATTCAAGGGAAAATAGCAGACAACTGTCTAGATTTTATTTTATTTTTTTTTTTTTACGACTGTCTAGATTTTAAATTAACTCTCTTCACCTGGCTTTAATCTGGCAGACAACTTCCTGAGGCTCTAGAGAAGTGAAATGGAGATAAATCAGTCATGACTAAAGAAGTAATCTTAGTTAAAACTAATGAGGAAGCTAATTGGAGTCATTTATCTTCATGTCAGGTTCATTATTACACTGTGGCTCTTCTTTGTGTTAAAGTGGTCAAAGTGTCCATGTGAATCAACAAACAGGTTCTTGCATTGTTGAAATAAGGGGATTAAAATGGGGGTTAGAGTTTGTTAAGAAATCCCTTGATTTTTCACTCCTTTAAGTGAAACTTTGTATTTTCTACATACTTACTAATGAGGTATGTAATTGAATTACTTGGGTTATATGACTCCGTGGAGCTGTTTCTCCATTTCAGGAGAAATGTTAAAATCATTCTACTGATAGACATTATTTCTCTCCTATTGAAGAAGTTCATTTATTTAGTATTTGAATGAATATCATGAGATCAAGTTTGGTATGTTTTGTTTCATGCTTTTATTATATATCAAAATAAAATATTTAAAATTTTTGATTATTAAAAAAAACTCATCCCCTCAAATATCACATACCAGTATTTGCACAAATTAAATATCTCTCCTGTATTTTTTGCCTCAGCTTTTTAAAAAAGGAAACTCAGAGTAGCACTGCAGATCATCTAGTATAGTGGCTCTCAATCTTAGCTGTACATTCAAACCAGTCAATCTGGAAACTTCATTTTTAATTGGAACTCAGGTGTGCAGAGAGATTAGTGATAATCCTTGGTAGTAGATACATGGTTATCTTTGGCCTACATTTATGTGTTTAATTTGCTAATATAATGAGTATTACTAAACTCACCATTCAACCTTTTACCTACTCCTATATGTGTATATAGACCTTTCCTATCCTAAGTCCCCTTCTCCTCTACAGATGAAACCACTATTCTGACTGTATTTTTTTGCAGATATATATTGTATGCCTAAATAATGCATCGTTTGTTTTATGTGCTTTTGAACTTTATAAAAAGGCAGTTGTATATTTTCCTTACTCATCATTAGATCACTAAAATGTATTCATGTTATTGCACGTAAAAATTCATTTTCACTGGCATAAAGTATCTCATTGCATAAATATATCACAATCAATCTACCGTATTATTTTTTCATCTGTGGGCATTTTCAGTCTTTTTGTTAACTTCTCTCCTTTTCTTTTCTCTTACTTTTTAATCTGTTCTTACTTCTCCCCCCCCCCCCCCATTAAGTAGTGCTACTATGAACATTCTTCAGTACATCTCCTCTTTAGAACTTTAATTTGGGAATACACTCAGGAGTCAAAATGCTTCTCACCAGGAAAACTTCTTTGACAGCAGAGGTGCCAGAGTAGGATGAATAGAATCAAGAACAGCTGGTAGGAGCGTAAAATCAGTATCAGTTGTAATTTCAGGATAAACAGCAGTAGTCAGGGATTACTCATCTTTCATATTCCCTATTGTAAATTTTGCCCCAGAAATTGTGAGGGAACATCATCTTGAAGAAGCCTTGGCAGGACACGGTGTACTTAATGTGAGATGGAAGTGCATCAGAGAGATGAAAAGGGTGGACCATAGCAAGTGCGGCTGTCCTCAGAGGAGTGCTCTTCAGCTACTCCAGCTACATTTCTCTATACATACAAGGATCTAGAAGTGCCCAAGTTTGCACTAATCTGGAGAGGTGCTAGTGCAGAAGTAATAAAACTTAGTTCACATGTCCCCAGTTGGGACCAAATCTAAGGCAGAATTTACCCCTAGAAATCCCAACCATGATGAAGCTGAGGCTAAGATTTTGCTTGAAATTATACCTTTACTTAGATTCCTCTCCTCTTTCCTGCTTCCCTCACTCTTCTAAGTTTCTTACGAGAGCACTCAATAAATTGCTTGCATTCAAGTCCTCACACTGTGGCCAGCTTCTGAGAAACTTGATGGGTAGAAATATGCTAAAGAATGGATCCAGAAACTCCATAACCTAAATTTTCAAAGCTTATAATTGAGTGGTAAAGGATTCTACTTCCCTCTTTAACTTTCCTGAAACTTTGATTTCAGGCCTCTGGCTTCCAGAACTGTGAGAGAATAAATTTCTGTTATCTGAAACCACCAAGTTAGTGGTAATTTGTTAGGGCAGCCCCAGGAAACTAATTTAGGTAATTTAATAGAATATTACACAGTTCTTAAACATACTATTCTAAAGAACATAAAAAAATATTATGGGGTGATATTAAAGAATAAGGAGGCTGAATATCATTACTAAAATGGTGACATAGGTTGTTCCTGACTTTGGTCCTCCTCACAAGAACAACAAACATCTATTCAAGAACAAGGCACCACTAAGAGAATCCTAGAGGCAATGCGGAAGCACCCTCTTGCACCTCAGAGACAAAGGCAGATCACATTAGAATGGTAAGAAAAGCAGCTACACATTGACCACATTACCCCTTCCCCAGGCCAGTGCAGCACCATGTGGAGAGGTCTCTGAACCTCTAGTTCCTTCAGTGGGAAAATAGAACTCAGGGGACACATCTAGCTCCCCCCTTTCAGCATTGTGGGTCACTTTGTGGGAGACCCTACTCTGATCTTTCACCATGGGAATTGTAGGGGAATTTGTGGGGCAGATTCCACTGGGAATCTGACTATGACAGAGAAAGTGGGGAGGGGCTTGCAACAACCAGCACACAGATCCCTGCAGACCAGGTTGATACCTCCAGTGCCTAAGTAGTAATCCCAAACAGCGGCTTTGCTCATCTACAAAATTAAATCAGGGACAGACTCTGATCAGGGAACTCAGCAAGGTACTGATTGGCCTGATTCAGATCCTGAAACAAGGAGTGTTGCTGACCCTAAAGCCCTGGTTGCCCATGCTTAGGCAAGGTGCTGAATCATAGCCCCACCCCCTGTGAAGAATGTCTTCCAGCCCCACCTGATCAGAGAGCTCCTGACCAGTCCCGGAAGCTGTATAGTCTAGCAGTGCTCAAGCTGGGCAGGCAGAGCTGATCACCCCCAGAACAAAGCCAGTACCAGGCATAGAAGCTTCCTGTACTACATGCATGCAGGAGGACTAATTCATAGCCAAGACTGAGGGTAGCTCCCAGCCCCTCCCAACTAGAGAGACTGCTCAGGGAAATAAAAATAGCCTAGAGTGTCCCCACCTCTTTCCACTCAGGCAGGGGGTCTGTACCATTACCTTACCTGTGGTGGAGAGTGTATTCTGGCTCCATTTGACCAGAAGGGCTGGTGAAAACACTTGAAAGTTGTGCAGCCCAGGGGTGCTCTAGCCGAAAGGTTTGCAGAGCAAAGCCTGTGGCCCTGTTGAGCCAGGGAACTTGGGGTATGGATATGTTACTTCCACTTAAAGAACTTCCATTTAGCATTTCTTGTAAGGCAGGTCTGGTGGTAATGATATTCCTCGGTTTTGTTTCAAAAAGTCTTTATCCCTCATTTGTTTCTGAAGGACAGTTTTGCTGGTTACAGAATCTGTGGTTAACAATGACTTACTTTCAATATTTTAAACGTCATCCCTTTCACTCTCTGGCCTGAAAAGTTTCTGTTGTAAAATCTGCCAAGGGATACAAATGGATTGTTACATAATATATAACCATGACCATGTCTGTGAATGCATTAAGAAAAACCTGTGTTTATAGCTTGTCATTTATAATGCAACATAATCTATCCTACCCTCACCAGTAAAACCTCCAATAACACAACAGGGAAACTGAGAAAAGTATTTTATAACTGAAAAAAGAAATACTATTTTACATGATTAGATTAAATGGATAGAAACCATAATCACAAATGTTCTGAGGTTTAAAATGTATACCGATTTTCTGGTAAAGTATTAAAAGTCTATTTTTTTTTTCATATTTTGTAGTTTCTCTGAATCCAGGTTGATTCTGTCCAAGGACTTGCATTTGTCTATTTGTTCTACTATGACATGTAGTAGAATCACCTTGAGTGTTATATGACTTCATTTAATACTAGTAGTTCTTCTGCATGTCACTGATTTATTTATTATTTCTTTTATTAATTTATTCACCAAACAAATATTTATTGCATATCTGTCATGTGCCAGATACTATTCTAGGCAATCAGGATACAATAATAACAAAGCTAATTGCCATTTGTTGAGGACCTTAGTTGTGCCAGATAGTACTTAGAGTATTTTATTTATATAATTTAATACAAGTAGTGAGATGTCTGATTATTTCTAATTTTTTTTACATAAGAAAACTGAGGGCCTAAGAGGTTAAATGAATTGGATGAGGTTACTTATAAGAGGCAGAATTGGGATTCCAACTTTTGTTCAAATACAAAGTACACTCACTGTTTGCTTATGCACATGTCCCAGTCCACTCAGGATTATTCTGGGTTACACCTTTTGTCCTAATATAATTACTAATCGTGCTCTATCCCTCTCAAATGTGTTCTGATTTCTGAAGACAACTGATACTGTCACCTTAATATCGCTACATTGTGACTCATGATCTTTGGTCAGAGTGTAGGGAGGAACAGTGCCTATGTGTGTTATGATACTTTGAGATGATCAATGTGAAAAAGAAACAGCATGTCCAATAGACCTTCCTAACTCTTTATTAGTCTGTGTTGCAGACTGTTTTGTAAAAGATCGCTTTACAAAACTACACTGCAGTTAGAAAAAATTTACTTTTGTTAATATTTAGTGACAATCAATATCTGAAAGGCCAAAAATTGTGGTATTTTATGTTTTGGAAGGCAGACTACTGTATTTCATAGTGTTAAATTATTTAAGCTTCTGTTTTCTCCATCACTGGATTATATAAGGGTTCCCATAGGGTGAGCTCAGATAGTAGTAGGAAATACAGAGAATATTGACTGCAAAGTGGAATATCCCTCAGTAAATAAGCACAATCGATCCCATAAAAATTTCAAGAAGACCGTTCTGTGCAAATTTATTTTGTGGCTATAAACATTTAGTTTTTCAGACTATGAATCATTTCTATAGTAATACCTTGAAATTAATGGGTGTTTCTGAGGAAAGTATGAGATTTACATAAATGTGACTCTCAGATACTAGAATATATTTTATTTTGAAGTAAACTCAATAGATACTACATCCTTTTTAAACATCAAAATGAGGGTCCAACTCTAATAAAGGAAATTGAACTTGAAGAGCTGTAATCAAGGAATAAGAACCAAAGATCCTCAGCTGCACTTGAACAGATTTTGATGATGAGATTTTGGACCTTCAGCCTAAACCTAATACCATCATAAATGAGACTTTGTGAAATATCTTGAGGGAATTTTTCACGTGTAAAGATGATAAACTGCTGTGGCTAGAGGGCAGACTGTAGCAAATCTTACTTCCCACTAAAGTCCTTGAAAATATATTTTATCCTACATATGCGTCTTAAAAGGTGATATTGATATTCTTCCAGTGATTGATGAGATCTTTGCTTTTTGCCTTTCAATGTGGGTAGGCCTGTGACTACAATAAAATTAACACCGTGTAACTGCTGAGGTTAAGTCCAAAAAAAGGTAATAAAACTTATGCTCAGTCCTCTTGAGATGTCTCAGGAAGAATCCAGCTACCAAGCCGTTATGAAGCCAAGTAGGCACATCAGAAAGACTTTTAGACTTTTAGACTTTTAGATGTCTTGTTTACAGCCTCAGCTGAAGTTCCAGTCAACAATCATCATCAACTACCAGACGGATGGATGACCAAGCCTCCAGGTGATTTCATTCCCAACATTCAAGCTATCTTAGCTGATGCTCATTTGCAGTTTAAAAAAAGAAAAAAAAAAAAAAAAGCTGTTTTACTGAGATATGCCCCATTTGTAGATTCATGAGCAAAATATTATCATTGTTTTAAACCACTATGTTTTGGGTTAGTATGATATGATATGCAGTAATAGATATTTGAAAAAGATGGTAGGAGCAAAAATATCTGGCTAATAAAATGAAAAGATATACTAGGAATTAAACAGAACATTTTGATGTGATCAGTCTGTCAATATGAAAATTCCTTGGTAAAATAGTAAAATCTGTACTACTTATTTTAAATATAAACTAAGTTCCTTTGGAGTTTTGGAATAAGGGATCCCTTGCCCGCCAGGCAACTGCAATCATGACTCTATACTGTTGTTCATTTATCTGTTGATTAGTAATAATCATAGCCAATATTTCAAACACATTATTGGTGAAGTGTTGTAATAAACACATTTCAAAGATAAGTAAACATTTGGAAGTACATGGTGACATAAATGAGAAAGCTCTTCTCCTCTTAGCAATGAAAAATGATCTCATTACTAAGAGGTCCTTTGAGTTTCAGGTTGAGCACCCCTCCACTGAGCTATAGTCTTGGAGTCACACTTTGAACCTTATCCCTGAGTGGAATAAATGCTATACCTGTCCAGGAGCTAGAACACTCAGCCAAGGATATTTTCTATGCAGTAGACTGCATGAGGTATACCTCTCTTCACTAATTAAAGTATAATAAAATTATTTTTATACCTGTCACTACTAAAAACACTTGAAAGTTTGTTCTGTTGCTAAAAAGCAATCCTGATACAATTTATATACATACATCTTATGCATATTATTAAGAATATGATTAACTGAGATTAAGCACAATGATAATATAAAAAACAAATACAAAATTAAAGAGACTCATGGACAGACTCTTTGATAAAACCTAAACAACAAGGGAAAAAAAAGGAAGGAAGGGAGCAAAACCAGATAGCATAATTCTCTACCTTTGTAGTAGAAAGATCAGTGACCTGAGATTCATGAAGCTGATTTTCTGGTGCTAATTAGCTGAGTCACCTTTGTCCTGCCTTTATACTTTCTGTGATTCCATGTTCCACAACCCCCCTCCCCAACCTTCTACTGAGAAAATTATCTACCTATCCTGAGTAATCTATTTAGACAGCTGTGGGAGAAGAAAAATAAATGTCAGCAGGATTTGAAATGGTAATAATAATATCACATATAGAGTAAGTAATAGCTAGTTATCTTACCTGATTGGTTCAACTAAAAGGGAATACATATTCACAAAGAGGGGATAAGATCCCATCCAAACTGTGTCACCATCACAAGTACCAGCAACATCTGTTAGGAATTCTTTTAAATTTGGTTGCTTTCTTTTTTTTAAAGATTTTTTATTTATTTATTTGAGAGAGAGAATGAGAGAGAGAGAGAGCAGATGAGAGGGGGGAGGGTCAGAGGGAGAAGCAGACCCCCCGCCGAGCAGGGAGCCCAATGCAGGACTTGATCCCGGGACTCCAGGATCATGACCTGAGCCGAAGGCAGTCGCTTAACCAACTGAGCCACCCAGGCGCCCTAAATTTGGTTGCTTTCAATAGCTATCTTATTTTAGTATTTACCTCTTCTGGTTTGTTTTCTTTCCTCATGTCTCTTTCTCCTCTGTCCCTATATGCAGATTAATAAGGGAAGATGAATATATTTAAAGAAAAATCCAAAAAAATGCATAACTACTTTTAACAGGCAAAAAGCAAGCAATTATGCAAACCTAGTAAATATGGTGAATGATGAATCTAAGAAATGTAATTTTAGATGGAAATCAAAGTGACCCCATAAAGTAATAATATTAATTTTGTATTTTGGATCATAATCTAAACCTTCTCATTGCAAAATGGAGTTGCAATGTGGTCTTGATAGAATGAGTCAAATGTATCAATTGTTTAAAAATAATGTATATCAAATATATTAATTATTGAATAACCAATAAATATGTAGGTGCTGCTATTATTAGCTGATGACTGTGTCAAAGGAAATACTGATTTAGAGGAATATCATCATTTCTTAAGTAAATCATCCCTTAGTACTCATCTTTTTAATTTCTTATGCTTGCTATTTTCTTTGTCTTCCTTTGTGCCTCTCTCTCAAATGTAGTTCCTTTGAACTTTTTCTAGAAGCAGGTTTCCTGGTAGACAGTCTCTTCTGCAGCTTCTCTCTGAGATGCATGACCTTCCCAACCATCTTTGCAGATACCTGGCTCTCTCCAGGGGCACAAGTTTATTTTAAGGTCCTCCACAGAAAACAAGGCCTTAGGTGGACTCTCCATTGCCACTTCCTAGACAGAACTGCCATGATGTCTGCTTTAAAAAATAAAGGACAGAGCTTGGGCGTGAATTCAGATTTGTATCGTTCTGGAACCTGCCTTAACCATTGGGCTGCCCTGCCCTTCAGGAGGTACCGTGATATAACACGCTGTCGGTGGTGCCACATGTCGTGCTACTTCCTACTTCTGTGCATTTGACGTTCTTCACCGGGAATGACTTTAAATCTCCTCTACCCCACTAGTTCCCATTTGTCATCTGAAACTCAGTATATCAACCATTTCCTCCAGGAAGGCTTCCCCAGATCCTCAATCCAATTAGGGAAATTTCCAACATTATGCTTTCCAGGGCCCACAGGAGACCAGCACACAGTCTGTGTACATTACAGATGATACTTATACCAAGAAACAGGTCCTGAGAATGGAACACCTAGTTTTGAAAGTGCTTGCTTTTGACCTAGCTGCACCAACAATAAATCAGTTCCTTACCCAATACTTTCTGCACCAGCCATCTGCCAACTGCAAAGTTGAAAGTTTAGCAATGTTTTTGGGAGAACTAAGTCTGATAGATGCTGACCCCTACCTAAAGTATCTGCCATCAGTTATTGCTGCAGCAGCTTTTCATTTAGCACTCTGCACAGTCACAGGACAGAGCTGGCCTGAATCTTTAGTTCAAAAGACTGGATATACCTTGGAAAGTCTTAAGCCTTGTCTCATGGACCTTCACCAGACCTACCTCAGAGCACCGCAGCATGCACAACAGTCAATAAGAGAAAAGTATAAATGTTCAAAGTATCATGGTGTTTCTCTCCTCAACCCGCCAGAGACACTAAATGTGTAATGGTGAAAGACTGCCTTTGTTTTCTAAGATGTAAATCACTCAAAGTATATGGTGTACAGTTTTTGTAAGATTTTAATTTTATAATCATTTCTGAATAGAGTTATGGTCAAGTACAAATTATGGTATCTATTACTTTTTAAATGGTTTTAATTTGTATATCTTTTGTACATGTAACTATCTTAGATATTTGGCTAATTTTAAGTGGTTTTGTTAAAGTATTAATGATGCCAGCTGTCAGCACAGTAAGAATAAGAACTAATAAACGGATTTTGGAAAATAAATAAATAAATAAATAAATAAATAAATAAATAAATACCCCTCACCTTCAGCTATCCATCACATACCACTGACTCTATCTTTGTGTTCTCCAACTGCAATTTACTCTACATTAGGGAACAGATCCTGTTTATCTCTTTTCCCATGGTAAAGACTCAGTATAAGCTACATGAATGCATTCAACTGCTGTGAACCATTTCCCCCCTGTGGGGCAGTATCTTTTCTGTTCTAAGGTCTATATAAAGTCTTACCTTACAGAGTTTAAGTTCCATGTGACAACAGGATTACAAAAATTGCTTTTCCAAATGACTTTAAAAGTTTTCATAGGATGTTCATATATATTTCTATCTTTGTTATTATTTTTTTACATCAGATTCATTTTTTTCAATGACTTAGCTGTTGTATTCAAGTTTTCCACAACTGTTCAAATGAGTCATCGTAGATTTCTTTACACTTAAGTGTGTTTTGTGGAAAGCTGAACAATGCTATTTTTTCCACATGCACAATGGTTGCTTTGCATTAGCTATTTCAGACATCTCTTCTAAAGTTTGATAATGCTGTCCAATTGCTTATTAAACTACAAGCATAAGAGTGTTTCTTTTCATCACTTCTTTCTTAAAGTATCTATGTTTTTTTCTTCCAGGAAAATGTAAAACTTTTTTTTTTTTTTGAAACTTTAAAAGTAAGTGCAGAATCAGATTAATATCTTAAAATCTTAGGAACCTTTAGTTGTCTTAAAATATTTAATAGACTAAATCCAAAGCTTATACTTAATATTTAATTATCTTCCCTCTCTTGATTTAATCTCCTTGTTTAGCTTAACTTACTCCGTTTATTCAAGGCTACCCCACACAAGAATCAAATGGTTCAGTTCTAATGCCCTAAATCCCTTATCCCCATCTTTCTTTCTGAGTCTGCTCCTGTCTGGAACATCCTTTCCTCTTGAAATCCTTTCCATTCCTTAAGGTTCAAATCACCTTCTTCATGTAAGTTGTCTCATCACCAAAACACGATATGAATTGTCACCCTCCCAAACTGTTGTTGTTTCTCTTATTCTCATTATATTCCACCTGTAATTTTTTTTTAAATTTTTTATTTATTTGAGAGAGAGAGTGAGCAAGAGAGCACAAGCAGGGGGAGCAGCAGAGGGAGAGGGAGAAACAGACTCCCTGCCTAGCAGGGAGCCGTATGGGGGGCTAGATTCCAGGACCCTGAAATCTGACCTGAGCCGGAGGCAGATGCCTAACCAACTGAGTCACTGGGTGCCCCCCACCTGTAATTTGTATAGATGCTCTGCCTTCAAATTAAATTCAACAAATATTTTTCCGAAAAGCCCACTTATTTGCATACTAAGTTTTGTTAGAAAGGTTTTTATCTTGTCATTTTTAAAGCAAGGGTGCTATTTTAATGCACACAGGGCTAACACAATTAGGTAATGCCTCATGAAGTAAATGACCTTCAGAGATTTTAGAATGAATATTATTTGAACATCAAAATATTTAATTTGGGGTGGGCATTGTAAGCAAGAAAAAAAGATTCCAGGAAGATGGAACAGGACACAGAGGCAAGAAAGTATGGTGCCTGTTTAAGGAATATTGTGTTCTGGTTTTGCTGGGAGAGTCTGCCTTGGTGAGTCCACTTCAGCATTATCTGATTCCATTAAAGTCCATTATTCTTCCCTCTGAATTGCCTGAAGAGCTCTGTCCCAAGTGCATACTGAAAGTGTCCAGAGCACTCTTCATTGCCAAAGGGACAGATGCAAAATTGGCTGGCCCACTGAGCCAAGTTCCTCTGTTGCAGATTCATTTGGAGTTTTTCCCTTTGCCTGTAAAGAGTTGTTCCTGTGGTGTGTGCATCTGCCTCTGATCCCATTTTGTTTGAGATTATTTAATTGTTCCACATGCTGGGAATGTTTATTTATTTACCCACCAGACACCTGCACCTCTTTGATGCTGTCATTTTGATTTGTTTATAAAAGAAAAAAGAAAATCCCATTGAGGGTGAAACACATTTTATGTCCAGTGAAAATGTTTAGCAATCACAGTAGAAAGCACATTGTTTTAATTTCACAGTCCGTTGGAAGCATTAGCTCATTAACAAACTAATTAAAAATAAAGGAAAGAGAGGTGGTTTGGGATAGAGAATATTGTTTACTCTAGTCAGCATGTATTAGCAGAGCTCATAGATCTTTAACTGTTAAGCACATATCAGATCTCTGCTTAACCTCCTCGGGCACCTGACTCTATTAGGTTTGTACTGCTCTCTCTCCCTTCTGTGTCACAGGAAATAAAATAGTTTCCCTGATCGGAGGTGATGGGGTCAGTTTTATATTTCAGGTTAGTTTTGTGTCTTGAAAATTGAAGGGAATGATAGAAAAAAAAATGCATTCTTTACTGCTTGTCCTCCTTTCCACGTTTCATACGTGTTTACTAGGTGTGAGCCATAAGCAAGGTGTAGCATCTGACTCTCAAGATAGCTTTTTAAAGAAACTGGTTACAGTGCAGCGTGATAATTGCAAAGATAAAGTCCTGTATATCAACACAAAGGAGTGGGAAGAGGGAAGATGGTTAGGAAAGGCTACCTGTTAAGCAGACTATTTAAGTTAGACGCTCTATATTTCCTTTTATATACCACACAGAATTTATGAAAGAATGTGTATATTACATTTTTCTGTGACTACAACTCCGTGAGGAGGGATTAAGGAAATAATAATAATAGCTGACATTAATTGATTGTTTCCATACTTGTCTTACGCGAATTAATTTACTGAATCTTCACAACAACCCTATGAGGCAAGTAGTGTTTCCATCACCTCCATTTTGGAGAGGAGGAATCAGAGGCTTAGAGAGGTAATAACTTTCCCAAAGCATCACCGAGAAATGAAGTAGCAGAACCAGAGTACAAACTCAGGCAACCTGATTCTTATGTCTTTGATTTTAACCTTTGTGTAATATAGAAAAAGGAGCTTCTGAAAAAGGGAGACAGAAGGCTTCAGGGACATAATATCTATCACAGTCCATTCAGGAAACAGCACACCAATAATTCAAGCAGGGGAATTTTCACATAAAGAATTATCAACAGTAAAGAGGAGATTAATTTGTAAAAGAGGCAAAGACAGCTCTAGAGAATACAGGAATGACAGACAGATATAGGGAGCAGCTACTACATTTAAAGCTAAGTGAAAGAATCTAAGGAAGAAGCCAGTTAGGAAGGGGACCTATCCTACACCAAGCTTAATATATTTACTTTATTGTAAATTTGTTGTGTCTGAGGTCCACTGGATGGAAGAAAAATTCTCTGAGACCATAGACTGGAGCTGGGAAACTACCTCCTGGGGTTCATACATAGCTCACAGAGAGGGTACCTGCTTTGCTGCAGGTAAAACTTTCCGGGGTTGTGCACCATATGTTCTCTTGCACACCACTAGCCAGGAAACTCTTAAAAAAAAAAAGCTCTAAACTAGGTTAGAAAAAAAAAATCCTTTCCATTTGCAGTGACTTTTCAAGAGCCTACTGTTAAAGGTAACCAACAAAGCAGAAATGCTACAAGGTCCAGCTACGGTACCATAAAACAGGGCAAAAATGGGTAGATTTAGAGTTGAGACACAGGAAATAGAAGATTTTTTTTTTTTAGGATTTTACTTACTTATTTGTCAGAGAGAGAGACAGAGAGAGGGAACACAGCAGGGGAAGTGAGACAGGAATCAGGCCTCCTGTTGAACAGGGAGCCCAATGCAGGTCTCAATCCCAGGACCCCGGGATCATGACCCGAGCCAAAGGCAGACGCTTAGACTGAGCCACCCAGGCGCCTCTAGGAGAATTTTTTATTATTAATCTTAAAGTTTGAATTAGATTTAAGTATTGTCCCTCCCATATCACAATGTGAATGTTCTAAATTGGAATTCTGAGGCTGAGACATTCTTTTGTATTTATGTACATGTTGTCCTGTACTCTGTTAAGAGTGGGGATCATAGGGCACCTGGGTGGCTCACTCATTAAGCGTCTGCCTTCGGCTCACGTCATGGTCCCAGGGACCTGGAATCAAGCCCCGCATCGGGCTCCACGCTCTGCGGGAAGCCTGCTTCTCCCTCTCCCACTCCCCCTGCTTGTGTTCCCTCTCTTGCTGTGTCTCTCTCTGTCAACTAAATAAATAAAATCTTAAAAAAAAAAAAATGAGTGGGGATCATAGGTTGTCTTTTTTCCCCTTAAGCCAATCTAGACAGGCTAAAAACATTTTAAAATATATTGTGACTTGTTCTTATCTACTCCCTAGAACCTTAATATCTCCCTGATGATAACCCCAGACTCTAAAGGAACACATTTGAAAAAGGAAAAGAAGCAAAAAAGACACAACAACACACTTCATTTCTATTATAATTGATGACTTAGTCTTTTATTAGGAAGAGTCCAGTCTTTGAAATTAGAAAAGCCTTTAGGTTTCTTTGTAATTCTGAAGAATGTCATTGACCTTTTCTATTCTGGGGGGGGAAAGCCCTGTAAGAAAAGTATGCTATATCAGCAAGTTGGAAGATAGAAAACCTAATTATTATGTCATGGTCTATATTCACTACAGAGAGAATAGGAAGAATATGAATTTGATTATCCAAAAAATATCCATTAATTGTTTTGTTTTATTTTTTAAAATTTTATTTTATTATGTTATGTTAGTCACCATACAATACATCATTAGTTTTTGATGTAGTGATCCACGATTCACTGTTTTCATATATCACCCAGTGTTCCATGTAGTACGAGCCCTCCTTAATACCCATCACCAGGCTAACCCATCCCCCCACCCCCATCCCCTCTAACACTCTCAGTTTGTTTTTCAGAGTCTCTAGTCTCTCATGGTTTGTCTCTCCCTCTGATTCCCCCCTTCATTTTTCCCTTCCTTCTCCTAATGTCCTCCATGCTATTCCTTATGTTCCACAAATAAGTGAAACCATATGATAATTGGTTATTATTTCACTTAG